CCTCATCTTTCCGGGGGTATAAAGTTCTTCGCGATAGGATAAGAATTCATTGAGCGGCGACAAGATGAACACGGAAATCACGGCCCAGAGTGAACGCGCGCTGTGTCGCAGTGCATAGACCAGTGTACAAACTTTCGTAACTTCGTCAAACATAAACGCATCGCGACAATCAATACACCGTTGGAAAGATCTTCACCTTATCTTTCCGGGGGTATAAAGTTCTTCGCGATAGGATAAGAATTGATTGAGCGGCGACAAGATGAACACGGAAATCACGGCCCAGAGTGAACGCGAATTTTTTTGTTCATAACTTCTTTTTGTTGCAGAGCGTGCCAGGGGATTTCCCTTTTGGTACGGCGCATGCGTGATGGACATCAAATGAAGCGCTTGGATCTGAGCTTTGCAGCGCAGTTTGAATTGTGAAAATCTGTTGAGTTTGGGCAAGAAGCCGAACAAGAATGTGAAATTGAGTTGTTGTGCCGTTCCGAGGCACGGTGGAGTAATTCGGAGAGGACCTGGATGTGGCCCTGATGTGTCTATGGAGCTGAGAGCTGCCAGGATGGATTCGCTTGGTCCTGATCTTTCCAACGATCCCAGGACGATGAAAATCCATCAAGGTTGAGTAAAATCAGAATAAATTTCGTTCGGAGCTGTGAGTGCATACTCCACCAAGAGAGTCAGTGCGCTGTACGGCCAGTGGATTGGAGAAAAGGGGCTCAGCATGCAAAGGGTTGCAGGGTTTAGTTCCTAGTCTTGAGCTCTATTGTATCAGCAATACTCAGCCACTGCAAGATAATCGCAAACAGCAGCTTTGCGTTTTGATCCACAGAATTCGCCTAGGTAAAATTCCCATTCATCTCTCCGCATTCAATTGGTTTTCTCTGTCCCGGTCCACTCGTAATAGTCTCTCACTTCCCCGTGCTAATTCAGCCGCATTTACCAACTCTCCTCTGTTTTTGTCCTACAGCCTTTGGCTGCAACTTCCCCAGCATGTTAAGACATCAAAATGTCTTTCCAGCTTTAAAAATGCACTCCGATCGCATAATGTAGTACGATAGGATCTCATTGCTGGATTCTTGTCTATCCTTCTTTCTTCTCTTTTTCTATATTCCTTTCTTTTCTTGCCGTGGTTGGCTATCACCCCTCTCTCGCACTTTGCGTGCCAATTGGTCATGACCCAAGTGGTGAGTGAAATAAATAAAATAAAATAAATATTCGAAATTTGAAGGCAGCTGGCACGCGAAAAAGTACAAGTCCGTGCGCGGTTGTCCGCCTACCATAGGTACCGGTACTGGTAATGTAGTCTGCACTGACATGCTATACTACGGTGTTTGGGTCTGTTTATTAGCCCATGGACCTATAAACGGAGGTTGGCTTATGTATACAATAAATGAGGAGGCCGAGGGTTTATGACCAATAAAAACTATTATAAAAACCGAGGCCCCCCGAGGTTTATATAATTAGCTTGTATTGGTCATAAACCCTCGGCCTCCTCATTTATTGTATTTAGAATCAACCAGTAAAAACTCCTACTCAATCTCCAACAACAAAATTAGTGGACAGCTGTTATTTGTGTTGCTATGACAACTCGTGTGCTGGACGAGTATTTGTTGTCATTGGTTCAATTTCTTTTACTCTTCATAGGCTATCAAATCATTTTCCTTATTCGGTCTATTTATAACCAGTATCTATAATGAGAGTGTGGTCTGTCTCCATGGTTGCCGGTGTTCATTCATACCTATAGCCACTGCTCCTTGTTAGACCTTATCTGGAAGGCCCATTCTTGCATATTCCAACAGCAGCCAAGGGAGCTAGCTCTCTTGGTTATGCGGCCTGGGTCCGATCCTAAAAAGCTGTTTTTATGAACTGTTTTTATGAACTGTTTTTATGAACTGTTTTATGAGCTGTTTTTATGAACTGTTTTTATTGGATAGGATATGATTATGTTGAATAAACGAGGTTTGTGTCAATGGGAGATTGACTTGGAGTTTTTACGAGTTGATTCTAAATCCGGATAGGCCCATGGGCTTATATGCGCGGAACTACGGTAGTTGCCGCGATCCAAGTGCAGCTAACACTAAGTAACAGCCGTGCCAGGAGCGTCTCCAACAGCTGAAAAGACACCGGAAGGCGAAGAGATCCACAGCGCAGAAAGAACAAGTGTTGAGCTTTCAGAGTCCTAAAAAGGTGTTTTTATTAACTGTTTTTATGAACTGTTTTTATTGGATAATTGCCATCAGGATATGATTATGTCAACGCAGCCGCAGTCTCCAGAAAGGTTGACATGCACCTCCTCAGGCAGAAACTGAGCACACTACCATTGACCGAATGCATGCAGGGCACCAACGTGCACATCAGTTTCAGATGCATGGCCTACTCTGCACTGCTGGACCAGGCAATTCAGGCAGCAACGACCATCACACGCCGGAAAAACACCCAGTCGAACCAACCATGGTTCACAAAAAAACTTAAGACGCAACGTCAGCGAACTAACCGTCTCTATGTGCTCCACCGAAAGGAGCCACTCAACGATTCCTTACGAGCTGCATACAAACTCTCGCGCAACCTGTACCACCGGTCATTAAGAGCCGCCAAGGACACATACTTGTCAACGCTCGGATACACAATGCTTGGCAAGGAAAGAAAGGGTGGCTATGCGTGGTGGAAACGTGCCAAAGCAATATGCAATATTGACCAAACAAATAAAAAGGCAATTCCAGACCTGCAGAACGGCAATGAAATTCACAAAACAGATCAAGCGAAGGCCGAAACGCTGTGTACCTTCTTTGCCCGCCAATGCACCACTCAGTCAACGCCGCCGAATACTGTAGCAACTAGTATAACAATCAATGAAGCCGACGTCGATGGAAACAAATTTGGATTCGGAAACATACGCCCTGTTGAAGTCTTCGATGCAGCAAAGAGGCTGCAACAACATAAATCATCATCAGACATCAACCTGACAAACCGTATACTAAAGCAATTCGCAGATATCCTTTCCCAATCACTATCAGTATTGTTCAACTACAGCCTTGATGATGGTGTGTTCCCGTCCTCCTGGAAATCATCCACTGTAATACCGGTGTACAAGAATAGAGGTTGCGCCAAAGAGCCTACCAATTACAGACCTATATCCCTCCTCCCATGCATAGCGAAACTAATGGAAAAGATTCTCTCGGAACGTCTACTTCGATACTTGATGACCCATGGTGTAATTTGTAAAGGTCAATTCGCATATGTACGCAACAAGTCGGTAACGGACCAACTTATCTTGCTAACCCAATCAATGGCTGTAAATATTGATAGTGGCACTAATTTTGACCTGATATCTCTAGATTTCAGGAAAGCTTTCGACCGGGTCGACCACTCTGTACTCCTAAAGAAATTCGGTAAGATTGCTACAGCTTCGTCAGTAAAATGGCTGAAGAGCTTCTTAGGGGATCGACAAATTGAAGTGAAGGTACATAGCACTAAATCGAAGAAGCGGAGCATCAACTGCGGAGTGCCTCAAGGTTCCCACCTTTCACCACTCCTATTCCTACTCTATATAAATGACCTGCCCAACGCTATGCAACATTGCACGCAATATCTATTTGCAGATGATGTCACCCTCCTACTGGCTTACAAACCTGAAGACACCCTCGCCAGTAGAGCGAACATGCAGTCTGATCTCGATGCATGTCAAACATGGGGCAGGAACAATGGCGGTGAATTCTCAGCAAGCAAGACATCCGTGCTGTGCCATAGAGCTATCAATGATACACCACCTGCAGGAATCCAATACCAAATGTACAATGAGCCATTAACGGTGGTTTCTGAACTGCAACATCTTGGCATCACCTTGACCGACAACCTGGATTTCCGCAAACATGTCGCCTCAATAACTTCGAAGTTCAGATATCGAGTGCACCTACTGTCAATTATGTCCCAGCAACTTACGCCTTCGGCAATGATCATACTGTACAAAGGGTTTGTAAGACCTGTGATCGAATATAGCTGTACGGTGTGGTCGTTTGGATCTAATAAGAAACCCATGACCACTCTTGATCAATTACAGGCAAGGTTTGCTAGAGCTCTACTGAAAAAGAAAAAAATTGCATTTGATTACACTTCTTCCAAATCTGTCTTAAATTCTAAATGCTCCCTAGAGTCACTAGCCTATCGTCGTCAAATCATCAGTCTCACCACTTTTCACAGATATGTTTTCCATCATCGTGATTACCTTGCTGATTTCCATTTCAAGATTACGAATAGTGAGCGACGACCAAATAAAATCATTCTTCCCAAATTTAAATCATTGTCTAAGTCTCTCTTCATGTTCCGAACTGCTATTCTATGGAACTGTTTACCCCCCAGTCTAACATCGGAAGCCTCGCTCTATAAGTTCAAAGCTGCCCTCAGGAAATTTACAGCTGACTATGCTTATGCAATCAACGGAATTCCGCCACCTTGCAGTTGATTTTCCCCATTTCTCTCCTCATCAATCCCTACTTCTCTTTGTACATACATCTACATCTACTGTTCTTTCAATCAAATGAACCCCTCGATAGGCACATTGCCTTTGGGTCATTTCATAATAATAATAATTATGTTCAATAACGGAGGTTTGTGTCAATTGGAGATTGACTTGGAGTTTTTATGAGTTGAATCTAATTTGTTATTAGTGGACAATCACTGAATCCGCTCATGCAATAAAATTGCATGCGTCCTTGACACTGACCACCGGCGCGGTGCCGCCGCCCTACAACTAGCTGGCAATCAGTTTGGTGTCGTGGCGATAGTTTGACTGCACTGTAGCTCCGACCGCTGGTGGTTCAGTAGTAGACCTACTGCTGCTTTGTGCGCGGTGCTAATGATTATGTAAAGCTCCTCGGTCTGGTGGATCTACTACTACTACTACTAGATCTAGTAGTGGTAGACACCACCCAGATCACACCTCTTGGCGGCATTTGAGTTGAGTCGCACCCTACATCGCGCTCAGTCTGTCCAGGAAGGTTTGCTAGAAAATTCTTCAGTACCGTTCTGCTGGAAACTGAGCTAAGTCTTAGTTGTACACCAGTACTCTTTCCTTGCATGGTCCTGGTGCTTCGTTATAGATTCGAACTAGCGGTGTTCTTTGGAATGCTTGCGTCCAACTAAATCCCTTTTTCCTGCGATACAGTGAGTATGAGTATTTGGTCAATTGAGCTCCTCTAGTGCACCGGTCAAGGACTGAGTACATCCGCAGTATCTACAGCGCAACTCAAATTTGATGTAGAACTAATATCAGCAGTAGGTTTTGTACTAAGTAAATTTAGTTGTAGGTAAAGATTCATGACCAGCCCTTCAACGGGAACAACATCAATGACGAAGGCGGAACAGGCGCCGCGTCCGCAGCAGCGCGATATTCGACCATGCAGTAGTCGACAGCCAGCGCTTAGTCAAGTGAGTATCTGTACCGGTACCGGCAGTGGACTATGACACATAGCATGAGTATGGTGCTGGTCTGTCGGTAACGGAAGAACGGGGCCGGGGTGTGTGGCCTAAACCTGTCGTATTTTCATGTACATGTACTAGTACAAGTACAATCTATGCGCGGCTGGTAGATCTACACTGCGCTTGGTCAAGAGCAGGGAGTAGTAAGCATGTACGTCCAGTTTGACGATTGCCTCAGCCCCGTTTTCACCTGGGGGGGGGGGGGGAGATTGGGGTACTATGGGTACCGAAGTGTGTAGACGCGCGCGCATCAGGATTCTCTCGATCAGGGAGTAGTAAAATACCTACCGCCAAAGACACTCCTCCTACTGCAGCCCGTAGAAACTCAGCGCTGAGAATCTCCAACAATAATTGTCTGCCTTCACAAGGTTTGGTGGTCGACCAAACTACCACTATGTCAGGATAGAAGTCCAGCAAGAGTGGTATCACTTTGGCAGATATCCCTGCGTGCCGTAGATTATTCCTGTGTCGATACAAGCTGTTTACGACGACGTAGCCCGCATTTCAATCCTTGACACACTTAGGAACATTTCATTCCGAAAAGTGAACTCCCGAATCTCTAGCATACCATAATATGAAATGCTCATCATCACAAAGAAGGTAGAGATGTACTGGTTGATCACAACTGAGGAGAAATTAGTGCCGATCGTATGGTGTCCTAGAGATTTTTTTCGACTTCGAAATCGGTGCACTCGCTTTTCATCTCCAATCGTACACGTATTGTTCTCAAGGAAATCCCCTTCGTTCCATTGCTCCATGCCGTCGATCGGGACGAATTTCGGAAGGGTGGTACCTTTCCATATGACGATGACACAGATGTATCACAAGAGCAAAACAAATGCTGTTCCATGAGATGGATAGACCTTTTCACGGAATTAGTTCTTCGACAAGATTGATTCAGCAGATCATCTTTTTTTTGCGAAAGAAAAAAAACAAGCGCGAGGCACCCATCAAAAATCACGATTAGTGGCGTGTCACCACCCTGTATTTTACTACTCCCTGGTCAAGAGTATTCGTTGTACATGTATAATAATGTATTGGTGAAATTCTAGGCTATTCGTTCTTCGGCACTCCGATACTTCTCTCCGTTCTTCGTCGCCCGACACTGCGACTGAGTCTGTAGTCTGTAGTGTATTCTACCGCGGCGAAGCCGGTCAACTCCTGCCGTCTGAGTCGAGTAATGATTATAATAATAATTATTATGTTCATCCATGAACCCCCTGTGGTCAGTCGTGAGCTAAATGTATGTACCTGGCGCACTTGCGCCGCAAGTAAGTGTCTTGTTCAGACGACCGTCGTTCGCCCTTCGTCGTCGACTTGTCGTTAGTCCAGGTACTTGTTCATCCAGTAAAATAGCCAGTTCACGGTCGGCAGGACTCACTGCGGCGGTGGTGACGTTTCCCATGTCAAAACTACTTGACAGACTCAGTACTTGTGTGCGACATGTATCCTGACAGACTCAGCACTTGTGTGCGACATGTCGCACTAGCCGACTTGACACTGTGTTGGTTGGTCTACAGTCCGTTTCAAAAAGATTTACAATCCTGGCGATCACCCGCGGAGTTTGGCGTCTTACCGTATGAGCACTCGAGCGCTGCCTGGAAAAACTCACTGTGAACTCGAAGAAATATTCCGCGCGAAAGCAGGAAAAATGACAACTCACTCACGTTGATACAGTCACGTACGTCTGGTTTACAACAAACGAGTTCTTCCTCGTAGAGTCGTATCGATAATGGAGTCAGAGAGGACATGTCGAAACGAAAGCGTTGTAAATGTTGACGAGCGGCATGGGTCCCTATTCGTTTTGTGACCAAAATAGTTTCTTTGAGCTGCGATGCAATTTACTCACCGTGTGACGAAAACGACATCGACACGGACTCATTCCCAAGGCCATGACTTGCCAAAGCTATCCGTGTGACTTCGACGACATTTTGAGAAAAGCAGACACTTGTGAACGCTGATAGAAGACGGTGTTGACTGCTAAATTCAAATAAATTGGCGATCTTGAAATACTAAAATAAATCTCTACAGCGCGATGACTTCCATTATAATTCACTCACACCATTGCAGTGTTGTGGGTGTGTTCATATGGCGTGAGCCAGTCAAGTGTCAGTCAGTTCGGCAGGAAGTGCGAGCTCCAACAACAAGTCGTTTGGTGCAGCAATCTTCTTTGTCTTGTACCAGCTTGATCACCAAAACAAAGAAAAAAAGTTTGAATTGAGGATAGGTTGGGATTTGAACTCACAACTTCATGGTCAGCAGACAGCATTCATAACCACAAGGCCAAAAAGGAAAGGATAAATCGTGGGTTTTGATAAAAAATCGATACTGGCTTCCTGGGCAAATTGTAAACCATGGGAAAAGGCCGGAAACCTGGCCGAAATTCTAACTCCTTTTAAAACGGTTGGTCCAATTGTTCCGAAACCTTCACAGAACAATTTGCCGTGTCCTAACAAGCCATTCTATGTACTTTGTTGTCCAAATTTCCCTTATCTTCATTCTTTTTAAGACCCAAACCTGATTGTAAATCTTTTTGAAACAGACTACAGGCAGGGGCAAAGCCAAGCGTGGTATTCACTCGCTGGACCGGATTTCATTGAGCAGCACTATGCAATCAAATGCCACTTTGATGGCTCTTGAACTCTCAGCCAGGCTTGCAGTGAGTCCAGAGAGCAATGCCCATACTGTAGTGTCTTGTTTAAAAGCCTGTCTGGTATTGAAGGCCTTTTAGATACAAGCCGTAATTTAAAGATACACTGTCAGCACATTAGCCTAATTTTAGCATTGACATACACTGTACATAGAAATACATGGGTTGAATACAAAACTGACTTGAATACAAGCCTAGCACTGATGTTGGCTGCTACAGGAACAACCACAATCAAATTTTCAGCCTGTACTGCTGCCGCCTGTACTGCTGCCGCCTGTACTGCTCCTGCCTGTACTGCTGCCGTCTGTACTGCTCCTGCCTGTACTGCTGCCGTCTGTACTGCTGCCGTCTGTACTGCTGCCGTCTGTACTGCTCCTGCCTGTACTGCTGCCGTCTGTACTGCTGCCGCCTGTACTGCTCCTGCCTGTACTGCTGCCGCCTGTACTGCTCCTGCCTGTACTGCTGCCGTCTGTACTGCTCCTGCCTGTACTGCTGCCGTCTGTACTGCTGCCGTCTGTACTGCTGCCGCCTGTACTGCTCCTGCCTGTACTGCTGCCGTCTGTACTGCTGCCGTCTGTACTGCTGCCGCCTGTACTGCTCCTGCCTGTACTGCTCCTGCCTGTACTGCTGCCGCCTGTACTGCTCCTGCCTGTACTGCTGCCGTCTGTACTGCTGCCGCCTGTACTGCTGCCGTCTGTACTGCTGCCGTCTGTACTGCTGCCGCCTGTACTGCTCCTGCCTGTACTGCTGCCGTCTGTACTGCTGCCGCCTGTACTGCTCCTGCCTGTACTGCTGCCGTCTGTACTGCTGCTGCCTGTACTGCTCCTGCCTGTACTGCTGCCGTCTGTACTGCTCCCGTCTGTACTGCTGCCGTCTGTACTGCTCCCGCCTGTACTGCTCCTGCCTGTACTGCTGCCGCCTGTACTGCTGCCGTCTGTACTGCTCCTGCCTGTACTGCTGCCGTATGTACTGCTGCCGCCTGTACTGCTCCTGCCTGTACTGCTGCCGCCTGTACTGCTGCCGTCTGTACTGCTGCCGCCTGTACTGCTCCTGCCTGTACTGCTGCCGTCTGTACTGCTGCCATCTGTACTGCTGCCGTCTGTACTGCTCCTGCCTGTACTGCTGCCGCCTGTACTGCTCCTGCCTGTACTGCTGCCGTCTGTACTGCTCCTGCGTGTACTGCTGCCGTCTGTACTGCTGCCGCCTGTACTGCTGCCGTCTGTACTGCTGCCGTCTGTACTGCTGCCGCCTGTACTGCTCCTGCCTGTACTGCTGCCGTCTGTACTGCTGCCGCCTGTACTGCTCCTGCCTGTACTGCTGCCGTCTGTACTGCTGCCGCCTGTACTGCTCCTGCCTGTACTGCTGCCGTCTGTACTGCTCCCGTCTGTACTGCTGCCGTCTGTACTGCTCCCGCCTGTACTGCTCCTGCCTGTACTGCTGCAGCCTGTACTGCTGCCGTCTGTACTGCTCCTGCCTGTACTGCTGCCGTCTGTACTGCTGCCGCCTGTACTGCTGCCGTCTGTACTGCTGCCGTCTGTACTGCTGCCGCCTGTACTGCTCCTGCCTGTACTGCTGCCGTCTGTACTGCTGCCGCCTGTACTGCTCCTGCCTGTACTGCTGCCGTCTGTACTGCTGCCGCCTGTACTGCTCCTGCCTGTACTGCTGCCGTCTGTACTGCTGCCGCCTGTACTGCTCCTGCCTGTACTGCTCCTGCCTGTACTGCTGCCGTCTGTACTGCTCCCGTCTGTACTGCTGCCGTCTGTACTGCTGCCGTCTGTACTGCTCCCGCCTGTACTGCTCCTGCCTGTACTGCTGCCGCCTGTACTGCTGCCGTCTGTACTGCTCCTGCCTGTACTGCTGCCGTCTGTACTGCTGCCGCCTGTACTGCTGCCGCCTGTACTGCTGCCGTCTGTACTGCTGCCGCCTGTACTGCTCCTGCCTGTACTGCTGCCGCCTGTACTGCTCCTGCCTGTACTGCTGCCATCTGTACTGCTGCCGCCTGTACTGCTGCCGTCTGAACTCCTGCCGTCTGTACTGCTGCCGCATGTACTGCTCCTGCCTGTGCTGCTGCCGTCTGTACTGCTGCCGTCTGTACTGCTGCCGCCTGTACTGCTCCGGCCTGTAATGCAGCCGCCTGTACTGCTGCCGTCCGTACTGCTCCTGCCTGTACTGCTGCCGTCTGTACTGCTGCCGCCTGTACTGCTCCTGCCTGTACTGCTGCCGCCTGTACTGCTGCCGTCTGTACTGCTCCTGCCTGTACTGCCGCCGTCTGTACTGCTGCCGCCTGTACTGCTCCTGCCTGTACTGCTGCCGCCTGTACTGCTGCCGTCTGTACTGCTGCCGTCTGTACTGCTGCCGCCTGTATACACTGTCATGCTGAACCTCGCAACACAACATTTCGGCCGCAAAAAAATTTCAATTCTGTAAAACCGGAAAGTCTAACGAATCACAAAGTCTAACGTATTAACGACCAATTATTTTTCGTTATTTGAAAAATACGTTATCGCTAGATGTCTGTGTAAAGATGCGCATACAGATGGGTGGCCAGGTAGCCATCGTTAAACTTTCTGCATGGTATCATGCAAAAATTACAAAAACGTTAAACTTTGTGGTCGTTAAGACTTTCCGGTTTTACAGTAGCCGAAAATAAATTTGCCCCGAATATTTGTTGACTTACAGTAGTTGAATAGATTTTTGGTTGGAAGAAAGCAAATCAGCACACGAAGCACAGAAGCCATAATTATAGTTTTTTTCGACTAGGCCTTTCATCCCATCACTCTTCAGGTCGAATACAGTGGTGATTGTAAGCAAGTCCTTATAGCCGGCACCTTTGGCGGTCAGAGCATTGACAAAAAAATAGCACTTGAAAAATAGGGACTTACTACTTTTAGCGCGAACATGCACCGTGGTTCATGTGTACACTGTGACATTTGAAAAAAAAAACTGTAGAATGTCCTCATAGAGAGGTGCGGAGCACAGCCCATTGCAAAATGAAACACTCGTTCTTTCACTGTGCTGGAAGCTCTCCTGTCAGGGCCATTCATCGAGAAGAGCAGGCAAGTCTGACATTTCTGGAATTTATTGATGTCATCAAGACAAGTAGTTTCTGCTGGATAAATTCTTTTCCACTATGAACACAGACCTACTATGTGAATAGCAACACACATAACAAGACAAAGGGGATGTAGGGACGACATGCCGATGTACCGAGAGCAACTCAACCGACCCGAGGTCTCGGTGCTGGGGTTGCGATAAGACATCGTAACTGGGGTGAGGGGGATGGGGTGGTGGGATGTGTTGAGCGTGTCGTGGTGTTCGCTACAACAAGGGTGGCATGTTTGTATTCTCGGTTTCTGCTCGTTTTTGTCATTTCAGGTTTCGCAGATCCATACGTTCAGCTTAGTGGTGGTGGTCGTATTGGCTTGGTCTGCTATTGCGCCCTTACCCGCCACAGGTAGGTACTTGTTTTAGATAAGACTGTGTCTTGTTTTAGTTTACACATTTGTTGGTTTAACTGGAAACAGCGACCTTTCTACAACCATCCACGTTTCAGATGGTCTCAACAGACCTGGAGCTCTACCAACCGTGGATGGTTGTTGAAAGGTCACCGTTTCCGAACACGGTGTCCTCCATCTTGTTACAGTAATGCTGTCAACCCGACAAACACGTATGTGCTTACGTTTATACGGACGGTCCGGGATCGGGCAATGCTCGCACCTTTGAGATGTACAGTAAAACCTGTCAAGGCGACCACTCGGATAAGGCGATCACCTGTCCCAGAAGGCCCCTGGAACCACGACCAAATGATGCTATTTCCAGTCAAATGACCCTGGATAAGGAGACCACCTGGTAACAGAGACCATATTCTGAAGATCTCTTGAGCGGTCGTCTTAGACAGGTTTCACTGTACGTAATTCCGAATCACAACTATTTTGACCGGGAAAGGCTAGGCTTCCGCGGGAATTATCAGAACTAAAACCGCAATAAGTAAGATGAGCTGAAGGGTGGTTACGTGTGTCTTTCTGTCTATGCTTGTCTGTGTGTGTATGCACAGGTGCGTAAGAGCGTGTGTGTGTGTGTGCGTGTGTGTGTGCGTGTGTGTGTGTGTGTGTGTGTGTGTGTGCATGTGTGCGTGCGTGTGCGTGCGTGTGTGTGTGTGGGGGGGGGGGGGTGTCAGTGTATCATTGTGTCTGTATGTGCATATATGCATGCGTATGCGTGTGCGTGTGTTTGTGTGTGTGTGTGTGTGTGTGTGTGTGTGTGTGTGTGCATGTGTGCGTGCGTGTGCGTGCGCGCGTGTGCGTGCGTGCGTGCGTGCGTGCGTGTGTGTGTGTGCGTGCGTGTGTGTGTGTGTGTGTGTGTGTGTGTGTGTGTGTGTGTGTGTGTGTGTGTGTGTGTGTGTGTGTGTGTGTGTGTGTGTGTGTGTGTGTGTGTGTGTGTGTGTGTGTGCATGTGTGGGTGCCTACACGCTGTCTACTTTTCTCAGCTGAGTTGACAGTGACGTGTATCAGCAACGCACCAAGGAACTGTAGCTACATAGGAGGAGAAGCCAAATACGTCTGCCTAGTCCGGGGAGCACCCAACTGGGTCGCAGACATACATGTCAGCCCCGGACGCCTGTCCTCGTATTCCATACTCAACGTTCCCGGCGGACAAAACGTGCCGTTCGTTTTCGAAAACGTCAGCCTCTCAGATAACCACCTGACACACTGTGTAACAGCAAGTACTCCCCAGTCTTCCAGGCAGGCCTGCTTCCAAGTGACAGCATGCATACCGAGTGAGTACCTTTTTTTCTTTCTTGCAATGTTCTATGTAGATACGTAGGTAAGCATCGATGTTAGGTCTGATTCGGTTTTCGACGATGTGTGGAAGAAATTGTATTTGTAAGTACTTCCTCCGTATACAAAAAAAATCGTGACTTTTTTCAACGGTGTTTTAGAGCAAGAACCTGCTAAACGAACCGCGCCAAAGGCTGTCATCGACAACCCACATTCATTTTGAGGTAGGTTTGGTTGATCTCGAACAGATTCTCCACGGAAGCCATGCGTGTGAGGAGGTTGCCGACAGGAACTCACGAGTCAAATGACAAAAAAACTAACACTTACTTGCTCAAAACTGACACCGTGACGAAGTGGAGCTCGCGCCTGGAACACGTAGTCACGACTCACCCTGAAACTGGCCAGGCTCGTACTTGCGGTGCGCGGCCCCCATACGCAGCGTGAGAACATAAATCGGTTCCGCTCGCACGGAAAGATGAAACATTTTCAGTTGTCGTGCAACCAGCGCAGACTCCGGATCGGAATGTCGACGACCTGGCTTTCTTCACCTCTCTCCACTCCTGTCAGAGGTCTCCGTTGTGGCCTAGGGGAATCGTAGGGACCTCGTCGAAGCCGTTGTAGAATGCTGGGAGGATTCTCCTGCGTAGAAAATGCGAAGCGTGTGGATGTGCTTGAGTGACTCGTTTCACGGCATAATGGAGGTCGCGGATTGGAACGACTGAATAATCGACAGTCGACACCGATTCGTACACAGCTCTGGAAATGAAGAGTACGCTAGCCAAAGTCCCGCGTCGGATCATCATTGCAGCTGAAAAGAATCTGAACGAAATGTGAGCGAAAGCAGCGACTGTTGGTGATGCGGAGTCAGCGAAGAGTACGCTAGCCAAAGTCCCGCGTCGGATCATCATTGCAGCTGAAAAGAATCTGAACGAAATTCGAGCGTAAGCAGCGACTGTTGTCGATGCGGAGTCAACGTCGTCAGGTGACAATGACAGGAACGACGAAAACTCTGAATAAACTCAATCTCATTCGTCTGAGTTGCTTTTTTCTTTGTATATAGCTTGTAAACAGGTTAGACAATGCCACAAGTGTTATTCCAAGTCAAACGGAACAATTCCAGAGCAGTGCGCAGCCTTCAAAAAAAGTCACGAAGTTTTTGTATACGGAGGAAGTACAGTCAAATTCGCTAATAACGACTGTGGATATAACGGAAATTCGCAAATAACCACAGAACTTCCATGCCCAGAGCAAAGTCCCATTTAACTGCAATACATACAACGAGACTTCGTGTATAAGGACACTTTTCCTATGCCCCGCCGAGTATCGTTATACGCAAAGTTGACTGTATCTACAACTTGGCAGTCATGTTGCTGATGTAACGAGGTCAGCCAGAGAGCGCATGTGGTTAAGATGCAATTGCTTTATTCAGGTTCTATGTGTAAAGTATCTCTCCAAAACTACACACGCGGAAATGATACAACCAAGTCCTTTTCTGCGGCTACTCGGAGTTTTGTGTTAAAACACAAATCAGACAGCATTGGACAAAGACAACCTTAGACAACTGTCTATTCTCTGTGTCAACACCCCCATTCCCCCCCCCCCATTTCTTGATGCCAGGTTGCAACGCCCACGCCGAGACCTCTGGTCGATCCAGTTCCTCCTTGTACATCGGCACGTCGTCCCTACATCCCCTGTGTCTTGTCTTGTTTTGTGTCTTGTTTTGTGTCTTGTTTCTTGTTTGTCTTGATGTGTGTCAGTGGGTCACTGCTCTTAGTAATAAATAATATAGAGGAGGAAAAAAGCTACATCTGACTCCTGACCATGGTGTGGTGGCGTCCTACGGAATCGGAAGGTGATTCTTGACCCGTCGTGTACACGGATTCGTAACATTTAATTGTGTGTGTTTTAGGTGTGTACTAGTAATATTATGGATGAATACAGCAGCATTGAGCAGGGCCTAAGAGCTTATAGTGATGGACATGCGACAATGTTTGTGTGTGAATGTGTATTTTGGCTAATGTTACGTGTATGTGTGTGTATGTGTGTACATGTGCACGCATGTGTGCATCTGTGTGTGTGTACAAGTGTGCATCTGTGTCGTGCGTGTTTGTGTGGCGTGCGCGGCGGGTGTTATATTTCTACTATTAAATTTCCACTCCATAAGATATCCTGAACTGCCGGATGATAAACTCTACCGATTCGGAGAACTGTACGGATATTGGCATGGATGTCAAGTACCACTGCACCGCTCGAGGTCCAGACCTGTCCCTGGCCTTGCTCAGTCCCATCTGCGGGGGCAGCTTCAGTGTTCAGGAGGCGACCGGCGGTCAGGATCTTTTCTTCACGTTCCGCAAACTGAGCTGGGCGGATAACGGGAGAACGCATTGCATTTTCGCCCGCACCGCACACGAACAGCAGCAGCATTGCCTCAAACTGTCCGTCTGCCGTCCAAGTAAGCACTCTTAAGGGCTGCAACGGTTAGGGATTTGGTCGGGTAACGAGTTCGGTTACTTCTATGCGGATAGCATGGGTACCTTGTAAGGTATTTTTTGAAAGTTTGTACAGTGAGTGTGCACTTGGGCTACAGAGAAGGTGTACGGTGCGCACGTAGCCGTGCTTTTTACATACGGATACTCCGTACTCCAACCACCCAATCGGGTTATCAGAAGCATGCTGCTACCCAAATGCGAGCTCTCGTTATGCTATGCACTTCTACCCTACTAACTGCTGACACTCATACAGGCTACATAATTAATTGCTAGTCCGCTTTGATCTCAGGGTTCCCTGTGAAAATGCGTCGACGTCTGACTCCGTTGGGACTTCCCTAGTAGAGCGAGAATAACATAAAATTTAATACAGTCAGACCTCGTTAGTACGAACACTGATAAGGCGAACTTTCCATTAGTACGAACTAAGGCCAATCCTATGGTTGGCCAGGCATCAATTCAAGTCAAAATTATTCGTTTACGACGAACTTCTGTACAGCGAACTTTCGCGAAGACGAACCATTTTCAAGTGTGATTTGAACAAAGTCAGTGTGGTCATGTACATGTAGTACGAACTTTCGGTCCACGAGCGTGCGCGTGCGCTAGATGCCTTTTTTCTTTTTTTTTTTCAATAGTCGAGGTCATACGAACTATTGTACGTACAGTTTTCAAGCGTGTTTTGAACAAAATAATCAGTGCGTTGTACGAACTTTCGACACAGTCGTGATTCATTGCACTTTGTCATTGTACTTACCTGTTTCTGGCTTATGCTAAGAATAACATGCTTCCCATGTACCACAGCATGCACCTTCACGTAAATACAATCCATCTGATATGCATATCGATTTTTTGTCAGATCTGGATAAGAAGAACTCCCGATAAGACAAACAAATGTGTTCAGTCCCTTGAAGTTCGTCCTAACGAGGTTTGACTGTTGTAGCAACAATCTAGACCACATTGGGCGCTTTCGATTACATGCATTTCGGTCAATTCTAGAATTAGTTATTGTTGATGCACAGTTCGATTACACGAAAAGTGACACATTCCGTCGTTAGAATTGATTTAATCCAATTCCGTCGAATCCGTCAATTCTGAAGAGAGGGCGGAATTTCTCTAATTCTGGCGCCAGAATTGCAAAGTTGGTGTGTTACCGGTCCAGTCATGACTCAAGCACGCGAAGAGCCTCCCTGGCGGGCGTGTGCGCGATGCTGGATCCACGTGTGCGCGAGGGTGTACGTCATCTCTTTTTACGATTCATCAATTATTAATTTGTTTGTGACATGACATGAATAAAATGCGTTGTGAATTCCAGTCGTTCGTTTACAAGGCCGGAATCCGCTCATTCTGGTCATTCCAGAATTTAAAAAAAAACCAGTTCCAGAATTGTGTAAACGTGTCATCGAAAGCGCCCATTGATATGCAGGCGGTTAACATACGTACAATATGGACCGATACAGGTCTACCCCCGTTAATACAACATCGGTTACACTGCAGACCTCGGTACTATAGTCTGTTTCAAAAAGATTTACAATCAGGTTTGGGTCTTAAAAAGTATGAAGATAAGGGAAATTTGGACAACAAAGTACATAGAATGGCTTGCTAGGACACGGCAAATAATTGTTCTGTGAAGGTTTCGGGGGGGGGACCAGCCGTTAAGGAGTTAGAATTTCGGCCAGGTTTCCGGCCTTTTCCCATGGTTTACAATTCGCCCAGGAAACCGGTATCGAAATTTTATCAAAACCCACGATTTATCCTTTCCTTTTTGGCCTTGTGGTTATGAATGCTGTCTAGTCTGCTGACCATGAAGTTGTGAGTTCAAATCCCAACCTATCCTCAAGTCAAACTTTTTTTTCATTGTTTTGGTGATCAAGCTGGTACAAGACCAAGAAGATGGCTGCACCAAACGACTTGTTGTTCGAGGTCGCGCTTCCTGCCGAACTGACTGACACTTGACTGGCTCACGCCATGTGAACACACCCACAACACTGCAATGGTGTGAGTGAATATGGAAGTCATCGCGCTGTAGCTTTTTGAAATTTATTTATTTTAGTATTTCAAGATCGCCAATTTATTTGAATTTAGCAGTCAACGCCGTCTTCTATCAGCGTTCACAAGCGTCTGCTTTTCTCAAAATGTCGTCGAAGTCACACGGATAGCTTTGCCAAGTCATGGCCTTCGGAATGAGTCCGTGTCGATGTCGTTTTCGTCACACGGTGAGTAAATTGCATCGCAGCTCACAGAAACTATTTTGGTCACAAAACGGATTGGGACACATGCCGCTCGTCAACATTTACAACACTTTCGTTTCGACATGTCCTCTCTGACTCCATTATCGATACGAGGAAGACCTCGTTTGTTGTAAACCAGACGTACATGTACATGACTGTATCAACGTGAGTGAGTTGTCATTTTTCCTGCTTTCGCGCGGAATATTTCTTTGAGTTCACAGTGAGTTTTTCCAGGCAGCGCTCGAGTGCTCATACGGTAAGACGCCAAACTCCGCGGGCGATCGCCAGGATTGCAAATCTTTTTGAAACGGACTGTAGACTCGGATGCTGAGCCAATATAATTATGATGAAGAAAGGAAAAGGCTGACTGTATAAGATCTGGTCACGTTGGTGGACAGTTTGTCATAACTGGTAACATTTTGTCCTTCTCCTTTCTTCATCAGTACTAGACACTCTGGCAGGCACAGTGGGTTGGTCAAAGACCGTGATTGAGATACGAGAGGTACCTGGTCCAAGTCCTGCCTGGGAGCGGTTTTTCCAGCCGTGCTACTACCCACAGTCAACTGGGAACTTGTGGCCAGGCACAAGGGGTACATGGATGCAGCTAATGGGGTCGTTCTTGGCACTTGTGCCAGTGGTTGTGAGACTTACCCACTCACCCCCACCGTTAGGCGCTGCATCTGCCGCTAGGGTTTACCGGGTGTTAGCGGCCGTCGTGAGTTCCCTTCGGGAACGGACACGATCATTTACTATTTTTTTTTACTAGACACTGATCCAAAATCCCGGCTGATGCCTGACACGCATAAATTCAAGTCCGGACAGTAGATAGCACACATCGTGAGACAAACATCTGAACCCCCGCAGGGGTTGTCTACTAACGAGGTAGACCTGTATAAAAGCACACTGGTGCTCACGCATCACAGCAGTATGCGTTGAATTCCTTAAAAGCCTATGACGTACAGATAGTGAAAAAGGAGAAGGACAAACTGTTACGAGTTATGACTAACTGTCCACCAACGTAACCAGATCTTATACAGTCAGCGAGTGCGACGAAATGGCACAAGACAGACAAGGAGTACTGAAACATTCGGCGACCTGACACCTGTCATAACTCGTAGCATTTTTGACCTCCTTTTTCACCATAATTTAATTTCTCACCATCCGAGTTGCATATACAGATAGGTAAAGAGAAAAGGACCTATAAGTACCGTCCACCAAGGCAATGAGATAATATACAGTCAGCTAGTGTGAGATAGTCCCTTCTCCTCATTGGAACGAATTGGACTGTTAGTTATAACTGGTGAGTTATAGGTCCTTTTCTCTTTCCATGTTACTATTGCCTCTCAGCATGCATTTATTTATATACATGTACAGTAATGAGAAGCATCTTGGAGAATGTGACTGGTTGTCGGGTCGTGTGACGGCACGACTAGTGGATGAGCGGTGTGACTGTGCTCACAGGTTCCTGATTGGGTCACAGAGTCGCGGAGTGAAGCGGACTATGCGACCGGTCAAAACCATGTGACCTTGCAACCAGCCCTGAAGTCACGGAAGCCAGTAACCAGTACAGAAAAGAAGAAAAAAGTTATTCACAAGGGTGGCTCGAACCCACAAGGGGTGTATAGTCCTAGTTCTTCTACTGCAGACCTGTGCTGAAAGATGCGTGTCTCTCTCTCTCTCTCTCTGTCTCTCTCTATCTCTCTCTCTCTCTCTCTCTCTCTCTCTCTCTCTGTCTCATCTCAATCTCTCTCTCTCTCTCTCTCTCTCTCTCTCTCTCTCTCTCTCTCTCTCTCTCTCTCTCTCTCTCTCTCTCTCTCTCTCTCTCTCTCTCTCTCTCTCTCTCTCTCTCTCTCTCTCTCTCTCTCTCTCTCTCTCTCTCTCTCTCTCTTCTCTCTCTCTCTCTCTCTCTCTCTCTCTCTCTCTCTCTCTCTCTCTCTCTCTCTCTCTCTCTCTCTCTCTCTCTCTGTCTCATCTCTCTCTCTCGCTCTCTCTCACTCTCGCTCTCTCGCTCTCTCTCTCTCTCTCTCTCTCTCTCTCTCTCTCATCTCTCTCTCTCTCTCTCTCTCTCTCTCTCTCTCTCTGTCTCCCTCTCTCTCTCTGTCTCATCTCTCGCTCTCTCTCACTCTCGCTCTCTCTCTCTCTCTCTCTCTCTCTCTCTCTCTCTCTCATCTCTCTCGCTCTCTCTCTCTCTCTCTCTCATCTCTCGCTCTCGCTCTCTCTCTCTCTCTCTCTCTCTCTCTCTCTCTCTCTCTCTCTCTCTCTCTCTCTCTCTCTCTCTCTCTCTCTCACTCTCTCTCTATCTCTCTCTCTCACTCTCCATATTCTCATCAACAGACCTTGATGAGTGTTTCCTTGGAATACATAGCTGTGCTGCCTGAAGCAAACTGCTCCAACACCCAGGAATTACTTCACGTGTATGTGTGGCCCTGGATTCACCGGCACTGGCATGGTCTGTCAGGGTAAGTGAGGCCGCCATCTTGCTGCCACGCCTACATTACCCAAGTATCTAGGGTAACCCGGGCAACGTTTGTGCTGGTTATAGTTTGCGATTTGCGGGCACAGTTTTCGATTTAATTTTGAGACTCCAAGACCAGTCTTCCGAAATCCAAACTGTAGTGAGTTTCACAATCTGTTCATTACGGTGGCCAATATACTATCATAGTGTTCTGCATGAAGTTGTACTTTTCCAAACCGGTTATCTACAGCAGATAATACTGCTAACATTGGGAGGCTAGAACAGATAAGGCACTGCATGTAGTATTTGTGGTCCGAGTTCAAGTAGTATTTCCCACCTCATTTCGACCCAGAAGGTACCATTGCTGGCGTACAGTTCGATGACCAGCAGGTAATACCACTGGGTGGGGAAAGGGTAGAACCGATACGGCACTGCATGTGGTATTTCTCATCTCATTTCGAATAAATCTAGAATCTGGCGCTCAGATGGAAACACAGTGCCCATGCTTGTGATACTGATCGTCAGCATGCTCAATTCTTCCAGCCGTCTGAGCACCCAAATATTTCTATACATATACAGTAATGAGAAGCATCCTGGAGAAAGTGACTGGTTGTCGGGTAGTATGATGGCACGACTAGTTGAAGAACGGTGCGACTATGCTCGCAGGTTCCTGATTGGGCCACAGGGTCACGGAGTGAAGCGGACTCTGTGACCAGTCAAGACCATGTGACCTTCCAACCAGCCCTGATTTCATAGGACCCAAAAACCAGTTAAGAAAAGAAGAAAAAAAGTTCTTTACAAGGGTGGCTCGAACCTACGAGGGGTGTATAGTCATAATACTTCTACTGCAGACCTGTGCTGAAAGATGCGTGTCTCTCTCTCTCTCTCTCTCTCTCTCTCTCTCTCTCTCTCTCTCTCTCTCCCCATTCTTGTCTACAGACCTTGATGAGTGTTCTCTTGGTATACATAGCTGTGCTGCTGAAGCTAACTGCTCCAACACCCAGGGTTCCTTCATGTGTATGTGTAACCCTGGATTCACCGGCACTGGCATGGCCTGTCAGGGTAAGTGGCGCCGCCCTCTTGTTGCCATGACTACATTACACAAGTATCTACGGTAACCCGGGCAAGGTTTGTGCTGGTTTTAGTTTGGGATTTGCGGGCACAGTTTTTGATTTCGAGCTACCTCAATATACTGCAAAACCAGTCTTCCGAAATCCAAACTGTAGGGAGTTTCATAATCTGTTCATTGCGGTGGCCAATATACCATCATAGGGCGCGTTCGAATTGTCTTCATCAACGGTTCAAACAAATTTTATAAAGAGATTAGTTTAAGTGTCCCATTAGAATGGTTTCTATCATTATAGAGTTTTTCAGTGGAATTGATGATGACGTCCGATCAGATCGACCATCTCCACGTATTACGTGATGTAGCTAGTCCAAACTCTTCGAAACTAATCCAAATCTGTCATCGGATGAGGTTGTGGAGTTTCGAGGAGTTTCGAGGCGCTTCGTTTTTCTGAGGAGGCCAAAAAGGCAACCTCTTCAGAAAAATGAAACTCCCCGAAAAGTCAAAGAGTGACAATTCGAACGCGCCCATAGTGTACCTCATGTAGTTGTACTTTTCCAAACCGGTTATCTGCAGCAGATAATACTGCTAGCATCGGGCGCATGCCCCGTATGGGTTCCTGGGTGCCCAGAACCCCCCCCCCCCTTTCGCTCAAAATGCAGAATTTTGCTTCATTGTTTGGAAATTTTCCCGGGGAAGACCCCCGGAACCCGCCCTTGAAGGGCACCGGTGCACGCGCCTGAGCGTTGGGAGTCTAGAACCGATAAAGCACTGCATGTAGTATTTATGGTCCGAGTTCATGTGGTACTTCCTACCTTGTTTCGATCCAGAAGGTACCATTGCTGGCACTCAGGTCGAAGAACACCAGGTAATACCACTGAGAGGGAAAAGGGTAGAACCGATATGGCACTGCATGTGTTATTTCTCATCTAATTTCGAATAAATCTAGAATGTGGCGCTCAGAGGGAAGAACAGTGCCCATGCTTGTGATACTGATCGTCAAAATGATCAGTTCTTCCAGCCGTCTGAGCACCCAAATCTAAACCCCATCCAACCCCAAAGATATTGTCAAATCAGGATCAATAAAACATGACATAGGTTTTGTGAAGGTCAGATGAAATCAGTGCCCTACATCTTGGGTGACCCTTGGTCAATGGAAATTAGCATCGACTTCTCTAATGGAATTTCCATACAGATGTGAGCTTCAAAGTCAACACTGAGATTTTATTACGCCTGAAGAAGTGATTTCTCGGTCTCTACCCTGATGGGACCTTCAGTGGGGGCTGGATAATAGACCAGTTGACAAAATAAAGTAGGGGGGGGCGTAAGGGGGCAAGGTATGGTCTATAGGGGGCCCCATCGTGCATGAGATCGCGCGTGGACCGTGCACACTGCACAGTGCAGCGTGCAAGTACAGTGTGTACGTGGTGTACTGCACAGAGATTTCGTGTGCTTGTTGGTGCCGGTGGCCGTGGGTACGGTGTTTCTTGTTTTTGTTTTGAAATGATTTGGTTGTAGTTCAGTCGGTAGTTTTCCTTCGCCTCACGATGCCATCGCACGACCACTGCTCTGTGTTTGGCTGCTCAAATCGCCGATCAGATCAACGAGATCTGTCTTTTCATAAGTATCCCACAGATCCCGACCTAAGGGCGAGATGGGTGCAGGCATGTAAGCGCGAAGAGGGAGCGCATTTCAGATCTCATCCAGCACTGTTGTTTGCAGTGAACATTTCAGGGAAAAAGACTTCCATCCAGATCTACCCGGGCTGCCTGCATTAGCTTCTGGGAAGCCGCACCGTCGTTTGAAGCAGGAAAGCATCCCCAGTGTTTTCTCCTTTCGGCGACCACCAGCCGAGAGACCCTCTCCTGCGGATCGTCGAAGTGCTGCACTTGTTCGTCATTCTTTACTAGAGAGGCTCGAAGTCGAGCCAAAAGCCAAGAAGCCGCGGCAAGGAGAAAGTGACAGTGAGTTTGAGTATCGTGTCGGAGGCTGCCGAAACTGAAATCCAAAATCTAAGCACCAGTAACAGAGCAAACACATGAGAGCAGAGCCCACCATCTCCACCAGCAACACAGCCCTCACACACACACAGCAAAATCCAGCATAGCACTATCATTTTTGGCGTCATCTGTGAGCACAAGTCGCAAGCTGTACTTGGTAGACTTCTTCTGGGTTGCCCAGCACTTGGCTTCGATAAAAATCTCGGCCTCCACACAGCACACACTAACATCGTGAATGTATCCACCAAAATACAGCTCGTGTCCCCGATCTAGAGGCTTCCTGATGATGAGTACATGGCTCTCACTGGTGCGAACTTGCTTTCCAGTAAGCAGCAAATGCGACAAGATCGTGGATGCTGTTACACGAGGAAGTTTCGATCTGTCTTGGGTCCAGCCAGAGTCAGGAAATACTGGTGCTGGAGTGCGCGTGGCGACGGGAGCTGCATCACGGGTCGACCGCTTGCTCATTGGTGCTTCGGGATTGGATTTGTAGAATAACGCCCTGGATGAAGAACAAATGTCACGCGCAGTTCGTGAGTGAGTGTAGCTAAAAAAATCAGTCGACGAAGCCCCGTATGAACGTACCTCGTAAGTAGCTCCGCTATCCGTCCTGTCAACAAATCGCCCTGCTTTCGTAGATAATCTCTCAGCTGCTTTATAGTCCAAGAAGGCTGAGGAACCTCTTCTACCAGCTCTCCGACACTACTCGTACCGACTTTGCCGTCCTCACCCTCCATGACCGTGTAACTCGACTGTGCACCAGCTCTGTCTACTCGAAAAAAAAACCAGCAAGAAAGTGTGTACTTTGTCTCCTTGACCCAGCGCTGCTGCATGCGCGCTGCTGCAGCGCTGGGTCAACTGACGCCCTCTACGCGTACGGTTGCCCCCTTTCGCCCCCCTACTATTATTTGCGCAAATGGTCTATTATACCGACACTTCTTTGGGAGAGAACAACATTTCACCAGAGCGAGGGGTGTATAGTCATAATACTTCTATACCAGACCTGTGCAGCATGACGTGTGTGTGTCTCCCTCTCTCTCTATCTCTCTCTCTCTCTCTCTCTCTCTCTCTCTCTCACTCTCTCTCTCTCTCTCTCTCTCTCTCTCTCTCTCTCTTTCTCTTTCTCTCTTTCTCTTTCTCTATCTCTATCTCTCTCTCTTTCTCTATCACTCTCTTTCTCTTTCTCTATCTCTCTCTTTCTCTCTCTCTCTCTCTCTCTCATTCTCTCTCTTTCTCTCTCTCTCTTTCTCTCTCTCTCTCTCTCTCTCTCTCTCTTTCTCTTTCTCTCTTTCTCTTTCTCTATCTCTATCTCTCTCTCTTTCTCTATCACTCTCTTTCTCTTTCTCTATCTCTCTCTCTTTCTCTCTCTCTTTCTCTCAACCTTTCTCTCTCTCTCTCTCTCTCTCTCTCTCTCTCTCTCTCTCTCTCTCTCTCTCTCTCTCTCTCTCTCTCTCTCTCTCTCTCTCTCTCTCTCTCTCTCTCTCTCTCTCCCCATTCTTGTCTACAGACCTTGATGAGTGTTCTCTTGGTACACATAGCTGTGCTGCTGAAGCTAACTGCTCCAACACCCAGGGTTCCTTCATGTGTATGTGTAACCCTGGATTCACCGGCACTGGCATGGTCTGTCAGGGTAAGTGGCGCCACCATCTTGTTGCCATGACCACGTTACACAAGTATCTACGGTAACCTGGAACGTTTGTGCTGGTTTTAGTTTGCGATTTGCGGGCACAGTTTTTGATTTCCTATCGACCTACCTTAATACACTTCAAGACTGTTTTCCGAATTCCAAACTGTAGTGAGTTTCACAATTTGTTCATTACGGTGGCCAATATACTATTATAGTGTAGTTGTACTTTTCCAAACCGGTTATCTACAGCAGATAATACTGCTAACATTGGAAGGCTAGAACCGATAAAGCATTGCATGTAGTTTATCGTCCGAGTTCATGTAGTATTTCCTACCTCATTTTGATCCAGAAGGTACCATTGCTGGCGCTCAGGTCGAAGAACAGCAGGTAATACCACTGGGAGGGAGAAGTGTAGAATCAATATGGCACTGCATGTGGCCCAGAATCTGCGAAAACCAGGCTTAGGGTGAAAATCATTTTTTTGAGAAAAATGATGTTTTGTAAAATTTAAAAAGGTTGTGTCGCGTGGACGATTGAGTGCAGTGAAGTGGAACCAAAGAGAATCTCGCTTGTTTGAAGAAGTAGCAGTCATGGCAGGAAGGGTTTCAGCAGTCAGGGAAGACAAAGGGCTTCCGGTAGAGTATTCCCTGCTACTCCTCTAGTCACAACGAAGAGTATTTGAGCTGATCGAACGGATTCCATTTCCTACACTCAGGGATGGCGAAATTTCTGCGCTAGCTGCTGCTTGCGGAATATGGTGAAGAAATCGTCTCCAGTTAGAGTCGTGATGGCGAAAGCGAGGAGAACCTGGACGACATCGATCCAGCCAATCGAAGTACAGAGATACTAGCTGTTTCTGGGCGTCACGCAAAGGGAATGCGCGCAGCGGAGCTCATACGTTTGCAGCAAATTCACGAGGAAAATGGCTTGAAGCGCAGTGTGGAAAACGGTTTTGAATTGGAGTCCTTGGCGATGAAGTGCTACTGAATGCCAGGCGAATGAGCGAGCAGATCGAGAGGCTAGGCCCCCACTCGAGACTTTCCTCGCTGGACAGCTAGCTGCAAGGGATTGTACGGCGTGCTGATATTTCAGTTGCTGGTCAGCACCAAGCAGATACTGCAGCACGCCAGCACACTATGCGCTTACTATGAACAGTGGAACAGGTTGAAAGGCTGTGTTCTTGCTTGTTTCTGAACAGTTGTACTAGATTCACCTTTCAAAAGGTGCCATCTCAACTGGAGTCGGGTTTCCTTGTGGTGTGTAGCGCCAGAGCATGCCAGTACATGTATTCAGCCCCAGAATGTGCTGAGTGAGGAGCAAACAAAATTCATGCAGAACTGTGCATGGCCACTACAGACTGCAGCACCAAGGGCCACAACAAGCCTGCCCCCACATGCCTACCTTGTCATGTCACCTAAACAAAAATCATCCATGTCTCTTCCTTCAGTATGGTGGATCTCTCTTCATTTCTTTCCTGTGATAACAAGTTTGTGTTTTTTTGGATTTTTTAACACAATACCCTGGTGTGTTTTAGATGCTTTTAATACACTATGAGTCGACCCACACCTGTAATATTTTGTTTCCTGACCCCCTATGCCCAGTAGAAGCTGAAGAAAATGGGAAAAAGTCATTTTGTGAAATTTCACCCTAAGCCTGGTTTTCGCAGATTTCTGGGCCATGTGGTATTTCTCCTCTCATTTCGATAAATCGAGAATCTGGCGCTCAGATGGAAGAACAGTGCCCATGCTTGTGATAATGATCCTGAACATGCTCACTTCCTCCAGCCGTCTGAGCACCCAAATATTTCTATACAAATACAGTAATGAGAAGCATCCTGGGGAGTATGACTGGTTGTCGGGTTGGTATGACGGCACGACTAGTTGAAGAGCGGTGTGACTATGCTCACAGGTTCCTGAATGGGCCACAGAGTCACGTAGTGAAGCGGACTCTGTGACCAGTCAAAACTATGTGACCATCCAACCAACCCTGATTTCACAGAACCCAACAACCAGTACCGAAAAGAAGAAAAAAGGTTCTTCACAAGGGTGGCTCGAAACTAAGGGGGGTGTATAGTCATAATACTTTTACTGCAGACCTGTGCTGAAAGATGCGTCTCTCTCTCTCGCTCTCGCTCTCGCTCTCTCTCTCTCTCTCTCTCTCTCTCTCTCTCTCTCTCTCTCTCTCTCTCTCTCTCTCTCTCTCTCTCTCTCTCCCCATTCTTGTCTACAGACCTTGATGAGTGTTCTCTTGGTACACATAGCTGTGCTGCTGAAGCTAACTGCTCCAACACCCAGGGTTCCTTCATTTGTATGTGTAACCCTGGATTCACCGGCACTGGCATGGCCTGTCAGGGTAAGTGGCGCCGCCATCTTGTTGCCATGACTACATTACACAAGTGTCTACGGTAACCCGGGCAACGTTTGTGCTGGTTTTAGTTTGCGATTTGCGGGCACAGTTTTTGATTTCGCTACCTTAATATACTGCAAGACCAGTCTTCGAAATCCAAACTGTAGGGAGTTTCATAATCTGTTCATTGCGGTGGCCAATATGCCATCATAGGGCGCATTCGAATTGTCTTCATCAACGGTTCAAACAAATTTTATAAAGAGATTAGTTGAAGTGTCCCATCAGAACGGTTTCTATCATTTTAGAGTTTTTCAGCGGAATTGTCATGGCGATGATGACATCCGATCAGATCGACCATCTCCCTGTACTACGTGATATAGCTATTCCCAACTCTTCGAAACTAATCCACCTCTCCCATCTGATGAGGTTGTAGAGTTTCGAGGAGTTTCGAGGCGCTTCGTTTTTCTGAGGAGGCCAAAAAGGCCACGTCTTCAGATAAACGAAACTTCTCGAAAAGTCAAAGAGTGAAAATTCGAACGCGCCCATAGTGTACTGCATGTAGTTGTACTTTTCAAACCAGTTCTCTACAGCGCATAATTCTGCTAGAATTGGGAGGCTAGAACCGATAAGGCACTGCATGTACTTGTAGTATTGATGGTCCGAGTTCAAGTAGTATTTCCTACCTCATTTCGATCCAGAAGGTACCATTGCTGGCGCTCAGATCGAAGAACAGCAGGTAATACCACTGAGAGGGGAATGGGTAGAACCGATATGGCACTGCATGTGTCATTTCTCATCTCATGTCGAATAAATGTAGAATCTGACACTCAGATGGAAGAATAGTGCCTATGCTTGTGATACTGATCGTAAACATGCTCAGTTCTTCCAGCCGTCTGAGCACCCAAATCTAAACCCCATCCAACCCCAAGATATTGTCAAATCAGGATCAATAAAACATGACATAGGTTTTGTGAAGGTCAGACGAAATCAGTGGGCTGCATCTTGGGTGACCCTTGGTCAATGGAAATTAGCATCGACTTCTCTAATGGAATTTCCATACAGATGTGAGCTTCAAAGTCAACACTGAGATTTTATTACAGCTGAAGAAATGATTTCTCGGTCTCTACTCTGATGGTAACTTCAGTGGAGACTGGATAATTTTACCGGATTTCTTTGGGAGAGAACAACATTTCACCAGATCGAGGGGTGTATAGTCATAAAATACTTCTATTCCAGACCTACTTCCTCCGCGTCAACGCAATTGTCGAAGTTTGACTTTTGATATAAAACGGGGTATTTACTCACCAGCACTCGTACCAAAGGTAAGGAATCGGACATAGGTGATAGTCATCAGTATAGGGTGACGGCAAAGTTCTATTTTTTTGTTATTGGAAGCTGGAATATTTGAACTAGATGCAATTTCTTCGCTATGT